CTCCTGCCTTGGCCTCCCATAGTGCTGGGATTACAGGCGTGAGCCACTGTGCTTGGCCGGATTGACTCTCTTCTCGAGAGCACCTTTTGTGTGATCAGCATTTCAACAACTTCTTTGCCTAGATCTGAGAGTTGTTTGGTCTCTTAGCTTCTTGTCACCTAGTGTCCACAAGAAGGAAACCCGCGGGGAGGCTGATGAGGAGACGGCCTGCCTTAAGGACTGGTTTACCCCAAATCGAGGGGGAGGCTCAAATGAGGTGGGTTTTCCCAGAACCACACCGCTGTCCTGCTGTGTAGTTGCTCTCGGCCTCAAGTTCCTCACCTGTAGCACGGGGACAGTAGTGTCCACCTCACACAGCTGTGGTGAGAATCAAACCGGTGCAGGTATTTAGTGCAGGTATTAGTTATCTATTCCTGTGTAACAAACGCCACCCTCCCCCCCCCCAATTTAACAGCTTAAAATAACAAACATTTAATTATCTTAAAGTTTCTGTGGATCAGGAACCTAAGAACGGGTGAGCTGGGTGGTTCTGGCTTAGGACTGTCTCTCTTGAGGCCGTGTTCAAGGTGTTGGCTGGGGCAGTCATGTGGAGTCTGACAGGGGTAGGGTCCACTTCCAAGGTCACTCACAGGGCTCTTGGCAGGTCTTTCCTGATCCAGTCAAGGCTTGCTCATGTGAGTGCTGGCAGGCTTCAGTTCCCTGCCACATGGGCCTTTCTTTTGTTTTGTTTTTTGAGACAGGGTCTCACTTTGTTGCCCAGGCTAGAGTGAGTGCCCGTGGCGTCAGCCTAGCTCACAGCAACCTCAACTCCTGGGCTCAAGCGATCCTTCTGCCTCAGCCCCCTGCAGTAGCTGGGACTACAGGCATGCGCCACCATGCCCGGCTAATTTTTTCTATATATATATTAGTTGCCAATTATTTCTTTCCTATTTATAGTAGAGACATGTCCTTGCTCTTGCTCAGGCTGGTTTCGAACTCCTGACTTGAGCGCAATCCGCCCGCACTCCGCCTCCCAGAGTGCTAGGATTACAGGCGTGAGCCACCTCGCCGGCCCGCACATGGGGCCATCTAGGCTGGCGAGATGTCCCTTCGTCGATGTCGACTAGTGACCCTCGCCCACAGACTGAGCCTGGGGGAGGGGCAGAGAGAGAAGAGAGAGAGAGAGAGAGAGAGAGAGAGAGAGAGAGAGAGAGAGAGAGAGAGGGGTCTGTGTGGGATGAATGCTGCAGTCCTTTTATAACCTAATCTTGGAAATGACATTCTAGCACTTCTGCCGTTTTTATTTGCAAGAATTGAATCACTAAGTCCCAGCCCACACTCAACAGGAGCAGGGGCTGAGACGGCTCCCCTTTGGGGAGAAGCATCAGAGAGGTTGCAGACTTATCTTTGAAGCATCCACAGCACAGCTCTGGGCGTGTCAACAGCAGGCTCTCAGTAAATGGCCAGATGTTATGATTGGCTTAGCAGACAAATTCACACCTTGGTGGGTCCATTTCTAGATAGGCTTTAGGGACATCCCCACTTTCATCAGGCAAAAGGAATTCCAGGCTCTATAGTGGATTGGAGATTACACCCAGGAGATCCCCACAAAATGAGGATTTTTATCTTTTATTTTCTATAATTTGGGAGAAAATATTCTTCTAGTGCTCTCAGTTGTGCTGGATCATTCTGCCCAAAGACTCTATGAGAGGAACATGCACTGTTTAAAATCCCCTCCCTCGGCCTGAGCATGTTTTCTCCCTGACACTTGGTGCTGCCTCTTCTCAACTGGGGAGGAGGGGAGGAGTTCCCTAGAAGGGGACAATACTGTCAGTGTCACCTGGACTAGGGAAGCAGGAAGCAGAGCATGTCCTCTGGGAAGGGGTCCCAGGTCTGCTTGCCACAAGCAATTTAAAATGTCAGAGATTATTTTTTAAAAATAAATGTGTTTATCTAACTTATAGAGCATCATCACAAAGTTGGACAAAAGGGGAAAAATGAAAAAACTAAAACCCTACTCCCACAAATCTGGTGTAACCACTATTGACGCTTTGTGATACTTCCTTCCCATAGTTCTCCTGTATGTGGCTATTTTTACACAGCTACAAGTAGTTCCAGTAGTTGTAACTGCAATTTCGCATCCTGCTTCTTTTCCTTTAACGTTATTACATGGGTATTTGTATCATAGACTTTCACCGCTCTTATTTTAAGAGCTGTATCATAGTCTGTTGGTGGATAGTCTTCACTTTTCTCATTTATTTCAATCCGTTCTTTAATTTTTTTTGTGTGTTGCATTTTTCTGTAATTATTTTTGCCCATGCTGTTTAGCCTTTTTCTTTGTATCATTTCTTTAAAATAGCTGCATTAGTCACATTAATTAGGTAGGGGCTAGATGGGTGCACCTGGAAATGTTAAACCTTTTCCTTTAGGGAACTGCTCTATTGCATCTACATTTAGAAAGTCCTTTCTTTGATTATAGAAAGTTTCTATATGACTTCCAAAAATTCATCTGGAATTTTTAAGTATAGTATGAAATAGGAGTCTAAAATGAGATTTATTTATTTAATTTTTTTTTTTTGAGACAGAGTCTCACTTTGTTGCCCAGGCTACAGTGAGTGCCGTGGTGTCAGCCTAGCTCGCAGCAACCTCAATCTCTTGGGCTCAAGAGATCCTGCTGCCTCAGCCTCCCGAGTAGCTGGGACTATGGGCATGTGCCACCATGCCCGGCTAATTTTTTTTTGTATATATGTATGAATGCTACAGTCATGTATTTTTAGTTGGTCAATTAATTTCTATTTTTTTTAGTAGAGACGGGGTCTTGCTCTTGCTCAGGCGAGTTCCGAACGTCCTGACCGTGAGTGATGCACCGCCTTGGCCTCCCAGTAATGCTAGATTACAGACTGAGCCACTGTGCCCGCCAGGAATCCTAAAATTAAGATTTTTTCCCAAATTACTAACTGTTGTCCAACATTTAGTGATGGCACCCGGTCCTGCACATCTTTTCCATTTTTGGATTCACGTTAATATCATCTATTTATTTTATGTTATTTTGAGACAGATCCCATTCGTTGCCTGGGCTAGAGTGCGGGAGTCCAGCCTAGCGTCACCAGCAACCTCAAACTCCGGGCTCAAGCATCCTCCTGCATAGCGGGACTAACAGGCAGTCCCCCCCCCCCCTCCCCCCGAACAAGTAAGCCCAGCAATGTTTTTTAATGATATTGTAGTGGCCAATTCTTGTCTTTCTAAGTTTAAGAGATGGGAGTCTCCTCTTGCCTCACAGGCTTTCCAAAGCTCCTGACCTTGACAGGTCCTCCCCAACCTCGGCCACGTGCCAGGAGTGCCTAGGGATTGACACGGCGAGAGCCACCATGGAAGCCAGCCATCTTATTTTCTGGTACTGCTCACCTGTTACCCAGGCGGATAAAAGTGCCTGCTCAATAGCCACTGTAACCTCAAACCGTGGGCTCAAAGCAAGTCCCTCTAACACTCCCAGCCTCTCCCCAGTAGCTGGATCGTACAGGTAAATAGGGCTACCATTGCCAGCCTAATTTGTTTTATTTTTTTGTAGAGATGGGATCTCACTATGTTGCCCAAGCTGGTCTCAAACTCCTGGCCTTAAGCCAATCCTCTACCACTGCCCAAACCTTCAAAATTTGGGATTCCATCCACCTGTGACTGGCATTTCCTTCTATTTAGAGTCTATGGGAGGCCGAGCGGGCGGATGCTTCCAGGTTCAGGAGTTTGAAACCAGCCTGAGCAAGATGAGACCCCCAGGCTCTACTATAAATAGAAAGAGATTAATGGCCAACTAATATATGTAAAAAGATAGCCGGCATGGGCGCATGCCTGTAGTCCCAGCTACTCAGGAGGCTGAGGCAGTAAGATCACTTGAGCCCAGGAGTTTGAGGTTGCTGTGAGCTAGGCTGATGCCATGGCACTTACTCTAGCCTGGGCAACAAAGGGAGACTGTCTCAAAAAAAAAAAAAACAGTATGGTCTACCTCTGGCCTACTTTTTCACTAATTTGTTTCTTTGGCGCCAGAACTTTGTAATATTAAAAAAGAAGGAATTGTTCAAGTCAGGCCTCAGCTAGAAGAGGAACTTGTTCCAGCTGGAAAGGATGAGAGCTGCTAATGGGCTGTCCAGACTTGACAAAAAAAAGGAACTGAGGCAGTAAAGTAGAAAATATAAATTCAGCACAACACAGCAGGCAGACAGCAGGCACCTGCAGGTGGCATGCCTAACGCAGTGGGCGCCTGGGGGTCAGGACTGAAACCAGGAGGAGGATGGCCAGGAGGGGCTGTCTGGATGGGAACTTGGCAATGTAGCAATGATCTTCATAGGAAAAAGGACTATTGAGACTAACTATTAATCTACAAAAGAATGGAATCAAGCCTTGTTGAAAACAAATACATTTGGGCTGATGTTCTGGTGGAATTACCGATTTGGCGGCAGATGTCACATATTTAGACGTCAGTAATTATCTGTTGCAGTACTTTAAACTTTTATTGGAACAAGTGGTTCAGCCAGCTTTCAGTAACTGAGTAGGCAAGATGTGTGTAACAAGTTTTGATCTTATGTGTATAGTCCTAATTAAAAGGTTCATTTAAAAAATGCTTTGGAAAAGGTAGGGCAGGGTGACAGGATCCAATTTTGGTTTACCTGTCATCTATATGGAACATGGTGAATCAAGCATCCTGGGGTCAGGAAAAACCCTTAATTTAGGAGTTTCAGCCCTGTGCAAACTATCCCAAGTATTATCATGGGGTAGACAACTCCTCCTCCAGGCTGGAGTTTCCTTGTGGTAACAAGAAGCTATGTGCAAACAGCGGGGCCAGGTGGTTATGGGAGTTTGGACCTAGTGAAGAGGGGGAAAGGATGTACCCAGGAAAGGGCTGTGGATCCAGAAAGCCCCTGTCCCTGGAATTCTGAGTGGATACACGGAGATCTAGTGAGAACCAGTGAGAAGGTGGTCACCTGTGATCCTGGGCTTTGAAAAATCACCACGATTATCTTACGATTATCTTACGCACAAATGCTTTCCCATGGCTTACTCACTTTAATGAGACTAAGTCGCCTGATGGGAGAGTGCAGACTCCTGGTGAGAGAGGACAATGAGGAGAAGCTGGAAGGGCTAAGGGAGCCAGGAACGAAATCCATCATGGTTACCATACAAAGGCATTTATGATCGTCTCCTAGCATGTGGCATGTAGGAGTGCTCATGACAGAAAGACAGCACTTGATAGGTAGGTCAGGAGGAGGCATGGTTCAGGATGCCACCAGGGGAAGGGAAGGGAGCAGCCTGAACATTACTGGGGAGGAGGGGAGGTGCAAGCTGGGGAAGCTGGGGGAGGGAGCAGCTTAGATAAGATGGCTTTGCAGGAAGCTGTCCTATCTCTGCCTGATGACAGCTCTGGGCCCAGGGAGATAGCTATGGACCCCAGGGAAGCCAGCCCAGCCTAAGTCCAAACCCTGCAGACAATGGGGTCAGGGGGCAGGTGAAGCAGTGGAGGCAAAAGTGTGACACAGGTGGGGCCTCCTGGCTGGGGACCCGGAGTTACTCAACATGGCCGAGCCGGTGTCTTCAGCGGTATTCTGGGGCAACAGTCCCACCTGCCTGTTATGGCTGTTGAGGAATCAGAGCTTGTTATAAAGGCCTGCCACAAACCCTAATGAAGACGAGGATGGGTTTCACCTGTGAGTTACTCCACAGGCGGGATCCAGGCCTGTCTGAAGAGTGGAGTAGAAGGAAAAGGAGCACCTGGGCAGTTGAGAGGGACAGAACTGAGGCCAGCCTGGTGCTCAGTGACAGTGCAGCTGGGGACAAGCAGGGCCGTGGACGGCAGCTCACAGCTGGCAGGGGATGCCCTTCTCCTGTCCCCGCCTCCTGGGCACCCAGGGACCAGAAGAGGAGGGGAGGTAACCCCCGCATCATCGCATCACCGCACCTCAGCCCTTACGTGCCATCCGTGCTGCTATGGGGCAGTCACCGCGATGAGCAGGGTAGTCTTTGGCGATCGCACATCGGTGGGAGCGTGAGACTGTGAGGAAAGAGCAGGGACTGACCATGGGCTGGGTAGGGAAGCCTGGCCCCTGTGCCCACAGCCTGGGAGGGGACAGTCAGAGCTCCTCCTTGTTGCTGTCAAGGGACTGGACTGGAGCTGGAGGCCCTGGATCCGGGGGGACACCTACTGGCCCATGGTTGCCAGGCCGCTGGCTGCTGTCCTCCAGGTGCCTGCCCATGGCAGCATAGTCCCGGAGGAGTCTGCTCTCCACTCCGTGCTGCCGAAGGCTCTGGGTACTTGCGAGCCCCTGCCTTCTCAGGTAGCCCTGCTGGCAAAACGGTGGCAGCTTCTGGCGCGTTAGGGCGAACAGGAAACAGGACTCTACACAGAAACAAAAGGAGAAGTCAGGCTGGGAGGTGTGGGGAGAGGTGCAGGAAGAGGAGATGCTAATGCCAAGGGCTGGGGGCTTCACTGGGGCCTTTACAGTACCCTCTGTCCCTTGAAACTGGGAGCTGACCCTCCTGGGCGTCTCACGTCCAATTGGAGTAGGTCATGCATGGATCACGACCCTCCACGGGGCTCCAGAAACAGGAGGCTGCCTTGACATTTTGGAAGAACAAGGCTCCGAAATGAAAGCAAACCACAGAAATGCCTCAGCTCCCCGAGATCAGGCCCAGCATGATGGTCTGCATGGAGCCAGCCTGGGGTGGGAGCTCAGTCCCTCATGAGCAGACCCTCAGCCTTCTCTCCTGGAAGCTGGCCGGGGCGTCCAGTAACTCAGTGGTCAGTCCCATCGTGAGCTCAGAGCTGCCTGCAAAGATTTATTCCCTCAACAAAATGTGAGCTGCAAATATTGTGTGCAAAGTTCTGTTCTAAACCCTGTGGGGGACAGAAAGATAAAACAGGTCAGTGCTCATCTACGCCACAGCAGAAAGTTGACATGTCAAATCTGGTCAATCACAAAATAGCTGTAGATACGTATTACTTAGAAATGTGAAGAAACAACCAAAAGAAGCTATGAAGCTAAGAAGCAACTGTGAAATAGCTAGTAGTTTCTTCTGGGGAATGAGAATGGGGGGGAGGTGGAAAAAGATCTTTTAGCCAAGTGCTATGTGACTTTGATTGAAAACACAGGAGATGACACAGATGTGGGAGAGACAGGGCAGGAAGACGGAATGTCAGAAGCTGGCGGAGTCCCTGTGTAACTCTGAGCAAGCCTGCTCACCCCCCCAGTCCTCTTTATCTCAAGTAGAAGACAGGCACAGTACGAGGGATGTTGTGAAGCTCACATGGGTGACCAGGCTGAAGGGTGCCCCCAAATATCACTGTGCTTTATTTCCGACTCTTAGCACAGAGGCCCCAGCAGGACAGGCCGTGGCAACCCTCTCTGGGCAGGGAAGAGAGCAGATGCGAGGAGGACAACAGGAGGGCAGCAAGGTGGCCATCTGGCAAGCACCACCTTCTGATGATGTCACCCCTCTGGAGGCCCCAGGGGCACAGAAGCCCAGCAGAATCTGGAGCCAGCACCAGCAGCTGCCACAGCTACGGGCTGGGGGGAAGCCAGTCTGCCAGCTGCCTTCTGTTGGGAGGGTTCTTCCCAGTTCAAGGCAGCGGCACGTAGTGGCTTGTACTGTCGGGCAGTGTCTAGACAGTGGAGACAGAGGCTAAAGGGCCTGGGATGATCCACTGCTGGGACCCACAACTCAGGGGGGAAATATGCTCCCTAACACACTGGCATTTACGTGGACACCTGAAACCACGAGAGGCAGGCAGGTATTTTGGAGCTGAGAACTCTAGACTCTGAACATGTAATTTCATGTGAAAGTGTATGATCAAGGTTGATGGTCTGCAGGCTGTTAGTACTTCAAAGTTGTTAAATAATTTAAACTACTGTTTCAAATCATCTGTGGACTCAGGATGAAACAAGAACACTTGTTCTCTGACCTGTGAGCTAGAAGCAGTCTCTAACCTGACTGATATCAACAGTGCCTGATATGCAACAGATGTCTAACAGATGTTTAAGGGAATGGATATTATAGGCAGTCAAGGGTTTAAAAAAGACAAATCATTTGGCTTCTTTCCATCAGTTCCCCTCTGGGTTACCCTACTTCTCTCCCCAAGTCCCTCTTTGGGTTTGACTATCAGATCTATCTCCCAGTTCATTGCTTCTCTCTTCTTCCCTATCTAGTGAGCTGTTGAATCTTTACACGGAGTTTCTAATTTTCTATCTATCTGTCTGTCTGTCTGTCTTTCTGTCTGTCTAGAAACAGGGTCTCACTATGTTGCTCAGGCTGGTTTTAAACTCCTGGGCTCAAGAGAGCCTCCTGCCTGAGCCTTCCAAGTAGCTGGTATTACAGGCATGCACTACCATGCCCAGCGACAGTTTTTTTTTTTATTTCCAGAAGTTCTATTTGAATTTTTCTCAGAACTGCCCAGTTAATCTTGGTAGTCTCTATCCCTTCATTATATTTTCAATAATCTTTTTTATTTCTTTAAATACACTGGTTCTGTATCTCTTATCCAAAATGCTTGGGACCAGAAGTGTTTCCAATTAGGGTTTTTTTTTCAGATTTGGGAATATTTGCATTATACTTACTAGTTGAACATGCTTAATTGTAAAATCTGAAATCCAAATTGTTCCAATGAGCATTTTCTTTTTTTTTTTTTTGAGACAGAGTCTCACTTTGTTGCCCAGGCTAGAGTGAGTGCCGTGGTGTCAGCCTGGCTCACAGCAACCTCAATCTCTGGGGCTCAGCGATCCTACTGCCTCAGCCTCCCGAATAGCTGGGACTACAGGCATTCGTCACCATGCCCGGCTAATTTTTTGTATATATATTTTTAGCTGGTCAATTAATTTATTTCTATTTTTGGTAGAGACGGGGTCTCGCTTAGGCTGGTTTAGAACTCCTGACCTTGAGCAATCCGCCCGCGTCGGCCTCCCAAAGTGCTAGGATTACAGGCGTGAGCCACCACGCCCGGCCTGAGCATTTTCTTTTGAGTGTCAAAGAATTATGGATTTTGGAGCATTTCAAATTTCAAGTTTTCAGGTTTGGGATGCTCAACCTGCATGAAACATACTTTATATGCTGTATCTGACCATGAACCTGCAGTCTTTGTAGGTTCGATCCTATAGTTGGTTGTTTTTGCTGACACTCCCTCATGGTAGTTTGTGTCCTTATGTGTTAAGTGATTTTTGGTTGGGAATTCATGTTCCTTGGAACTTTGTGGGAAAACTTGGGGCCTAGATTTAAAGTGTATTTTTCAAGTATATTTCTCAAGATAAGATGTGCCTTTGCTTCTCTGATTTCTGCACAATGATAGCATAAAGTTTGGCCCCAAATTTATGTAAGTGGGGCCTGGTGGTTGGGAATTTTCACGGGAGATTTTTTCCCCCCACTGTATCCAGGGCCAGGAACTATGGCTCTACTCTGTCCCCCTCTCGGGAGTCTCCTGGCTTGCCCACTGGGATCCGAGCTTTATTCGAGGGTCTCTGAACAGACCCCCATCCTGCTCCATACTTGTCCTCCCACCCCAGGGCTGGCCAGTTAGCTGCCTCTAGGCTCCTGCAACCTGCAGGCATCCCAGGCCCAGTGGCGGTCTCTGCTCTTTATAGCGTCTGGCCTCTGGGGCCTTATTTTCTTGCCGGTTCCTTTAAAAAGACATATTATTTGGTATTTTTAGGTTTCTGTGAACATCTAGTCCACCACATCACAGGAGACAAGAGTCTGGGGTTTGGACTGTTCGGTGCGGGTTCTGAAACTCCACAGGGCGTGGGTCTACCCGGCCTTTCTTCAACCTCCCCTCAGTCCCTCTGTCCTTCTGGGAACTCGGGTTACCTGCATAGAAGCTTCGTAAATCCGTGTCCAAACAGTTCTCCAGGAAGCGCCTCAGAGGTAGAATGTGCCCAACGGGGGCGGTCCAGTCTGTCAGGAAGTCTTCCAGGATGTGGTGGATGGCCGCGGGCCGAGGCAGGGGCCAGTGCGCGGGCCGGAATCTCACCTCCTGTTCTGTGGGGGAGAGGGAGCCCGTCGGAGCTGAGAGCCTGGCCTTCCTGCCCCCGAGCCGACACCCCTCACGCTCCCCTCACCCCTCACACTCCGCTGTCCTGACGCTCCTGCACTGGGCTGCGGCCAGCTCGTTCACCAGCCCCCTCCAGATACGTGCGGGCCGACGTGAGGAAGAGGAACTAGGCTCGTCTCTGTGGTCCCAGAGGGCAGAACCAAGCCTAATCACTTGAAGTCAGTGTTTCTCTAAGACTCACCTGGACGAAGGTCTATTGTGGCTGCCTGAAAACTCATTCTGTGGGAAGATTCAGAGGCCCTGCCCTGAGAGGGGTCTCAGAGCTCACGGAGTCCAGCTTCCTACTGGTGTGGCCTCCCCCCTTCTGTGGTGTCCCTGTCAGATGGCCACCAAGCCATGACTTGAGCATCCCGTCCTGGGAAACCTGATTTTGGAGCTGACCAGTTCCACAGCTGAGCGGCTCTCACTACTGGTTGCTCCTTATGTTGACTACAGACCTGTATCCCTGCCACTTCCACCTGATGACACCACCTCCGCCCTTGGGCACAGCTCCTAGCAGACCACCCTCTTCCACGTGACTGCCCTGCAAGCTCGGCAGCGGGGGCATGTTCCCCAGGTGGTTCCTGTATGGGCAGCTGCCCTGTGCCAGCACGTGCTGGCATTCTGTGTACACTGTCACACTTGCCCTCACACCGTCCCAGAAGGAAGGTACTATTGCTATCCCCACTTTACAGATGAGAAGGTTGAGGCTCAGAGAGGTTAAGTAATGGTCCAGGGTCACATAGTGACGAAAGGACATAGCTGGGAATGTCGCCCGCTGTTCTGTACTGTGTCAACCAGCCCCAGTTCCTTCTAATACTCAGCCTGCAGATCCTCCCTCCCCCACCACGGGTAGCCACCTCTGGAGACCCTGCACCGAGACACCGTCCCTCTTACTCTGTGGTGCCTCGGAAGAGAGCCTGACAATCCACGTGTGGCCTGTGCAGGTGACAGCATGTGCCAGAATCTGCACGCATCATTTATCATTCTCACACCCCCTGCCCCTGCCTGGTCTCTGGGTGAAGTCCCCCGGCCGTCCCCCTTCTGTCCACTGAGGGTGGTGCGTGAAGGTTTGATGGTGACAACTCTACAGACAGGGTCGGAGGAACGCCACCCCGCCTAGGGAGGGCAGCGGCGGCTCACCGGTGGGGAGCTGTCTGTAGTAGTAGATGACAGGATGCAGGAAGTTGGACTGCCAGGCGTCCTCCGTGTACCCCACAGACCGGCCGTGAAAAAAGACGTCCTTGTCGGGTCCAGAGAAATTTTTGCCGTACTCCATGTTGATGACGAAGAGCCCGTGCCTCGCCTTCCTCCCGGTGAGGGTCTCCAGCTGCGGCAGCATCAGCACGGGGAACTCCTCCAGGTACTCGAAGGCGGAGGCGTTCCTGGGGAGCACGGCAGCACGGGGGACGCTGAGCCGTGGCAGAGGGGAGGGCGTGGCGCGTGGGCGCTGCCTCCAGGAAGTGTCAGTCAAGCAGTGCACAGACTCCCATCGGCTCCACACACCTCACTTTAATGTGACTGTCACAGCCGAGCCCTCCCTAACACATGGGACAGATGCCAGGAAACCGTGTAACTGAGATGGATATTTGGAAGAGTGTTCCAGATTGAGGGAGCAATAAGAGAAAAGCCCTAATGAGGGAGTGAATGCCTTGTTGCGTTCAAAGAACAGGAAGAGGCCAGCGTGGCTAAGCGTAGTGGACGGGGGCAGAGGGCGGGAGGTCTCGGGGTGGGGTCAAGGAGGGCTGTGCCTGTCACGACAGCAAGTGCAGATTTCACCTGGATGGCCATGTGGGACACCAAGCAGAGAGAGGACTGGGGTGGCTCAGGTGTCTAAGGACCACTCTGGCCAGGGTGCTGAGAACAGACCACGGGCCAAAGGTGGGGGGCTGTTGAGGCAGCGCAGGTGAGGGACGCTGCTGAAGTGCACCAAGCTGGCAGGTGGAGCCAGTGAGAGCTGGTCCAGACATAACTAGAAGTAGAGGAGACAGGACCTGCCCACAGTTTGAATGTGGGGTGTCATTTGAGAGAGAGGCACCAAAGGTGATGGTGATGTGAGGTTTCTGTGCAGAGCCCGTCCCTGAACCCGGTGTGCTGTGACACTCCCTGCCTTTGGATCAGGCTGTTCCCCAGGTGAGAGGAACCGGTTGTTCCTCTGCTGTCACCACTGCCTCTCCCGAGTGCCCTCACCCTTCTGGGCTCTGCACTGCTTCCTTCTTGGGAACCGTCTGTCCTCTGTGATCTGCCGCTCATCCTTGATTGATAAGGACCGTGACCAGTGTGGGCCTGGCCCGAGGGAACTCTTAGACTGTTTATCTACTTGGTGCCAAAGGCTTTCTCTGAGTGATCTTTCCTCCTTCCTTCACTGCTGCAAGGTAGGCATAATTATTCCCACTTTGCAGATGAGGCCAGAGAGGCTCAGAGAGGCTAACTAACTTGCCCAAGGTCACACCGCAAGGCAGTGGTAAACTGGGCTTCGCTCTCAGGAACGTCTGTCTGACTGCAGAGCCTGTGGTGTTGATTTCACGGATTTCCCCCTAGAACAGACTCCCCTGCTCTCCCCTTGCAGGCTTCACCCTAGGAGGGAACAACTGGGAATTCCACACCTGGAAGAGGCACAGAAGGGCCACGGCAGGGTGTGGGGGCGGGGAGCAGAGGGTGGGTGGGGACAGGCTACTCACTCCTTCAACAGGACGACATCAGCCAGCACGCTGAACATCTGGTAGAGCCCGGAAGCCTCGTTCACGCGCCGGACGATGGCGCTGGTCAGCTGCGTGACGGGGAGCTCGGTGGAGGGCCAGGCGGCGCCGTGGTGTCGATGCTCCAGGAGCCGGTGGACGGCTCGCGCTGAAACGGCCAGAGCAGGAATGGCACGCGCACATTTTGCCTCTGGTCACCGGGGGACGCACAGGCCTCGTCGACCCCCTGGGACCCGACACACACTTGTCTGCCCGGCTCAGGGCCGAATCTGTGGGTGGCGAGCGGGGAGGGAGGGCCGGGAAGCCGAGAGCAGGGCCAGCAGACGTTCTCTGGAAAGGGCTGGCCGGCCAGCGTTCTCTGCCCTGTGGGCCACACTGCTCGGCGACACTGCCTGACGCTGCCCTAGTGTGAAGGCGGCCGGAGGACAGAGAAAGTGGGGCACGGCTGCACTCAGGCACAGGCCAGAGTCCGTCACCCTGCTGTAGGCCGTCTGCACGTGGGAGCCCCACCGCCCTCACCTCGCACGAGGAAGGTCAAAACCAGACCCGGGGCCTTCCTCGGAAACCTCTCCCTGCGTCCCGTCAGAGTCGCCCCGGGAAAGCTGACTGCTCCCACGATCTCCCGCCCCAATCCAGCCTGCCCCCAAGCTCTACTCTGAGATGGCCCGTCCGTCAGGGTGGAAAGCGGCCGCTGTCTACCTGGGGCTGCCGCACGCAGCTGTGGGATGGGTACGTCACACGCACGCACCTGCTCTTCCAGACTAATCAGCCAACACCCAAATCCAGTAAACACGGAAATGTCGAGGTGTGACGCAGGCCCTTCGAGGTTTTTATGGCGAAATTAACTGCCCATAAACACCCACTATGCAATAAGGCTCCCACACAAGATGCCACTGTCTGCAGCGGCTGTGAGGCTGCCAGTGGGGCTGTCCATTGTCACCCTGCTGTTTCCCAAGGCAGGCATGGATTCAGCAGGGGCAGACAGCTGCTTTCCAGGGCTGCTGAAATGAGTTCACATGTGCGTGACGACAACAGCAGCGGCAGGAGTGGAGACCGTCCTTCTCAAGCAAAAGCCAGCTGTGGCGGCCAAACACGACCCCACAACGCCTTAATCTGCACGAGGCGGCTGCCGCATGGAGCCTCCCCTGCACTGGGAAGCGCCACGTGCGTGCAGTCTGAATCTGCTATGTCTTACCTTTTACACTAAAAAAGTTTTTAAGTAAAAAAGAAAAACAAAAGGAAGTTAGAAAGAAAGGACAGCTTGGAAAAGAACCGCCAAAATTTCAACTGAGTATCTCTGAGTGGTGTGATTACGGCAAGTTTTGTTCTCTTCTTTGTGTTATTTGGTATTTCCCGAAGTTTCTATAAAGAGCACGGCAGGGAAAGATGGGACTATGTTTACAAAAAAATATGGTGGCGTTGAGTCCAGTGTCTCTCCCTGACTGCAAGGCCCTGTTGCAGCGATCTAGTCTACACCCACCACCATGGCCCATCTCAAATAAAGTCTTTAAAAAAAAGAAAAGGCCAGGCACAGTGGCTCACGCCTGTAATCCTAGCTCTCTGGGAGGCCGAGGCGGGCGGATTGCTCAAGGTCAGGAGTTCAAAACCAGCCTGAGCAAGAGTAAGACCCCGTCTCTACTATAAATAGAAAGAAAACTAATTGGCCAACTGATATATATATAAAAAAAATTAGCCGGGCATGATGGCGCATGCCTGTAGTCCCAGCTACTCGGGAGGCTGAGACAGAAGGATCGCTTGAGCCCAGGAGTTTGAGGTTGCTGTGAGCTAGGCTGACGCCACGGCACTCAGGTAATTATTTAATGGTACAGAGTTTTAGTCTAAAAAAAAAAAAAAAAAAAAAGAAAAGAAAAAAATAAGGACGTGGAAGGTCTTTGGGTGGCAGATTACTTCACTCATTCTCTGTTTCCCAAGTATCTGCCGATCAGCTATAAGCTTATTACGGTTCCATTCTTTCAGATGGACTCACCAAACCGAATACTCCTATCTGACCGTGAGTGTCAACAAGCGCCGGGTCCTTTTGAGAAGGTTGGTGATAGGAAGGGCAACACCTAACATGTACAGACTCTCCCCTACCTATGGAGAGGGCGCTGATTTGCTTTCAGGGGAAGAGAAAATCTTTGTACAAACTATCTTTTGCCAGAGAGCCTGGGTCCTGTAGTTCAGTTCCCGTGACGGTGGAGAAACCACCAAAACTCTGAGCCTCAGTTGCTCCTTCAGGAAAGTGGAGATTCACACCCACGTCCAAGCGCACTGGCCACACTGCCAGGGCCGTGTTCATGCCACTCTGCGTGCTGAAGGCAGGCAGGCTGCATGAGCCTATTTCTCCCCTTGTTCTCTAGTTCCCATTCAGCCTTACAACCACAAAGCCTCAATTTCCGGATGGGGATTATTCTAGTGCAATGAACAGAATTATGTTTTAAAAAGATACTTTAAGGCCGGGTGCTGTGGCTCACGCCTGTAATCCTAGCTCTCTGGGAGGCCGAGGCAGGCGGATTGCTCGAGGTCAGGAGTTCGAAACCAGCCTGAGCAAGAGCGAGACCCCGTCTCTACTACAAATAGAAAGAAATTAATTGGGCAACTAATATATACAGAAAAAATTAGCTGGGCATGGTGGCGCATGCGTGTAGTCCCAGCTACTTGGGAGGCTGAGGCAGTAGGATTGCTTGAGCCCAGGAGTTTAAGGTTGCTGTGAGCTAGGTTGAAGCCACCGCACTCACTCTAGCTTGGGCAACAAAGTGATACTCTGTCTCAAAAAAAAAAAGATACTTTAGTATTTTATTTGCAAAATTCTCAAGTTCCCCTGTAATCCTAGCACTCTGGGAGGCCAAGGCAGGCGGATCGCTCAAGGTCAGGAGTTGCAAACCAGCCTGAGCAAGAGCGAGACCCTGTCTCTACTAAAAATAGAAAGAAATTAATTGGCCAACTAAAAATATATATAGAAAAAATTTGTCAGGTATGGTGGTGCATGCCTGTAGTCCCAGCTATTCGGGAGGCTGAAGCAGGAGGATCGCCTGAGCCCAGGAATGTGAGGTTGCTGTGAGCTAGGCTGACGCCACGGCACTCTAGCCAGGGCAACAGAGGGAGACTTTGTCTCCAAAAAAAAAAAAAAAAGAGATTCTCAAGTTAGCATAAAATTTATACACTCAGTACGAAGAGTTCTGAAAAAGAACTGATATAATCCAGTTGCAATTTTTATTGAAATTTGTCAGTATCCAGAGTCTGTGTGCACGATGCTTTATAGCGGCAAGGTGCCCAGGCGTCGCCTTATTTAGCCCATGATGGTGGAGAGTTCACCTTGTTTGCAGCTAAGCCCCAATGGGGTTTAGGCGGGTTAAAGCTTCACTTTTCAGACCATCCAGCTGGGGAGGAACCCAGATTAGTGTTCTTCCTGCTCAGCATCCTTGCCAGTGCATGGTGCTAAACCTGCATGGGGCTCACGCACATAACAAACAACCCCCAAATGTACCTAATTTTATACTTTACCTGATACCTTTCTAGATACATTCTCAGACCACCTGTTGTCATCTACCCCAGGTAGGGAATTTAGGGCAGTCAACTACTGATCAGTAATCTCTCAATGCTTGTGGAAACCAGGGGTGTGTTTCTAAGCCCTGGGGGTGGATGCTGATGGTGGTTCTGTCTGGGGACAGCAGCACTCTCAGCTGGGCTCACCTGTGTACCGGAATCCGTGGATGAAGCCCCCAGCAGATCTCCTGTAGTCCACCGAGTGGCTGGCGGTACCCAGGATAAAAAGACCCCGGGTCCCTTTGGACTCATAGCTGGCTCGGATCAGTGGGTACTTCGTGTCGAATGGATTCCCCGAATTGAGTCTGAGGGACCTGTGAGTGGAAAGGGTTGTTAATAAAAATAGCTGCTGTGCACAAAGCACTTATCACAGGCCTGGCACTAAGTGCTTTATATTAAACCTTACCATGCCCCTGGAAGTGGGTGTAATCATCTCCATTTAACAGATGAAGAAACTGAGGCTCAGGTTAAGGACATGGCAGGACAGAGTCAGGATCCAAGCCTGACTCAAGGCTGGGCTCTGAACTAAGACCGGGTCCTGCTGTCACCTAATGGGAAAGGAGGGTCTGCACAGGCCCACCAGCTTTTCCTTGTCCTTTTGTGCCCTGGTCAGAAGGCAAATGAAAGACTGGGTGGTTACTTATTTGTTGTTAAGAGATAGGGACTTGCTCTGGCACCCAAGCTGGAATGCAGTGATAACAGTCACAGCTCACTGCAGCCTCAAACTCCTGGGCTCAAGTGATCCTCCCACCTCAGCCTGAATAGCTAAGACTACAAGTGCACCACCATGCCCAGCTAGTGAAATTTTTTTTTTTTTGTAGAGATGGGGTTCTCACTATGTTGCCCAGGCTGGTCCTGAACTCCTGGGCTCCAACGATCCTCCCACCTTGGCCTCCTAAAGTGCTGGGATTATAGGCATGAGCCACTGTGCTCTGCCAGGATGGCTGCTTTGATATAAAGCCTCACAAAGTAATGGGCAGCCATATTTGGGACTAGGCTCTATAAAGCAGTTCTTCAAAATACAATTATAAATAATTTTAACAACTAACATTTTATGGAGCATATAGTATATGCTAAGCACTTTCTTATATTAATCTTCACAATAACCATATGAGAAAGAAATTATTAATCCCATTTTAGAGATGAAGGAACTGGGGCACAGCATGTTAAGTAACTTTCCCAGATGTGGTAAGCAGAGAATCTCGGGCCGACCCCAGAGCCTGTGCTCTGGGCCACCATGCTACACTGCCTTCCAGCAAACTCACCTGCGTGTTCTGCCTGAGCTTTATTTCCCATCTCGCAGGTAGAGGCTCTCAAAGCAGATTAAGACCTGCTGCTGCTGCTCCCCCAGGACAGAGCCGCAGGGCCACCTGGGCCCCACAGTAGACAGACAGCTCGTGTCCCAAGAGGGAGACCAGGCAGCACCCACACCCATTCTTAGACTGCTGTCCTGAAAGCCCTGCTGCTGGCCTGCTGATGGCCACTGTGTTCCCTCAGGGAGGGGTCAGAAGGGCTTTGCTAAGAGATCCCACCTCCTCCCTCATTTGGACTCACTTATTGAAAATGGAGAAGTCAAAGTTCCAGCCCAGGCAGCGGATGACCCTGTCATAGGCCACGCGCATGGCAAAGTTGTCACTGTTGTCCTGGGGGAGGGTGATGGAGTCAGCACTTTGGTTGGTGTTGTTTTCCTCCAGGAAGAATTTCAAGGTGACATGGAACTTGCCTTCGTGGTCCTTCACGATGGCCAGATCTGTCAGGTCAGACTCGAGCAGCCCGTCCAGGGACTTCAGCTGGTAGGTGTCCAGCAGGCCATTGTTGATGGCTCTGGGGCCCAAAGAGAATGCAAGGGAGGGGCGGTTAGTCCAGCTGGGGTCAGGAAAGGCTTTGGGGAGTTCTCCCCACATTTTGGGCTTACACCACAGCACACACAAGCAGGGGTGTGGCATACCTGAGGTCTCCAACGTAGTGGGTGGCCCAGGACAGCCGGACGCGGGAGCGGCTCAGCATGTGGATAAAGTTTGTGACACCCAAGATGTTCTCTGCCGTCTCAAAGGCTGAGTTCCCACGGCCCAGGATCAGCACATTCTGACCCACAAAGTCCTCGGGGTCCACAGACACGGACTCATAACCCTCCACGTATTCGGAGCCAGGGAAGTTAACTTGGTTGGGGACTGACAAACCAGTGGCTACAAGGAGGACACTGCAGGTGGGGACAGAGGAAAGACGGCTTAGTCTCTTAGCTGTAAGACCACTATGTGAAAATCACTCTCTGGGCCCACCCACCACACCCTGACTGCTGGCTCCTAAAAGAAAACAAGAGGACATTCATTCATTTATTCATCTATTTACTGAACTATCCCAGTGTACCGGAGATACTCCACCCCTGCCTCTCACTGAGCTCACAGTCCGGCGGGTACACATTTTCCTGTACTAGGGATTAATAATGCTGTCTGCGGAGAAGGTGACTAGAGAAACTGAGTAATTCCTTTACGTTTGAATACAGCAATCAGACCGAGTATCACCCTTGGTGATGGAAATGAACCCTTGCGTTCTACTCTTCCCTTTGTGACATGTTTGGCAGACGCAAATGTCCACCGAGCAGTAATTCCATACCAGGCCCTGTGCTAAGTGTGTCTGTACGTCACCTCATGTACTTCTCAAAGCAACCTTGAGTTGGTGTCACGTGGCCTGCTTTACAGCTGAGGAGATGCAGGCCCTGTGGGCCCACGGGCCCCAAGCTCCTAAGGTCAGAAGGCCTACCTAAGCCTGATTCCAAAGTCCCGCTCTTTATAGTGGTGGGGATTGCAACCAGGTGGTGGGCAGCTGGACCCTGCCAGCCTGCAGAAGGACGATTTGACCACAGGGTGGTTTCAAACAGAACTGCAGGGCCTGCAGAGGGGCACATACGGGCCCATTAAACCTTGCTCTCTGACCCTTGTCTGCTCTGCTCCATGGTAACGCAGCTGCCTAAAATGCAAGAGTCCACGTAGGCGTAACCCTCCCTTCTTTCCCTGGGTTGTAACAGGCAAAGCCAAGCCCGGGCCTCTGGCAACAGGCTGGAGAAGATGAACCCTGGCTGAGTGCCTGCCTGGAGCCAGGTGCTAGGCTACCAGCCAGGGAGGGAGAGGCAGCCTGGTGCAGCAGAGAGAACACAGGCTTTGGAGTCAGGAAGAGATGTGCTCAAATCCCAGCCACACCACTTTTTAGCTATGTGACATAGCACCAGTTACTCAACTTCCCTGAGCTGCAGTTCTTAAATGAGGATCAGTGAACTTCCCCCACAAGGTCCCTGTGCAGATTAAACAAGTTTGGGGCTGTCAACACAATATGAAACTGTCTTCCAAGAAAAAGAAAGCTAAATCTGATTGCTGGAAGCACTGCCTGCGGGGCCTCCCAATCTAGTTCCCTTCTGAAATCCCAGAAGGCCTAATACTTGCTGGACACTTGACCCAGGGTTTCCCTGAACATATTTTGGGGAACACTAGTTCCAAGAGATGCTCTATGTAAAGGGTTTTGTGGGTTCATACACTCTGCTTATGGTGAATACTTTACCCAGTGCTGGGACATCACAGTGAATATGAACATATCAAAGACTGAAAAGGCCTGGAGAAAAAAATGTTAGTATTTTCCAAACATATTTGACGGGCAATTTTTACGACATTTGGGAAATGATGGCTGAGTGGAACCTCTCAGCACTGACTTTCAATGGGCAAGAGGCAGAAATGCCCCTTTCCCCCCATTCCTCCTGCACCTACTGCCAGACAAGGTGTGCCATTCGTCTAGGGAAGCCAGCTTCGGCAGTGACTTGTGGCGCGGGTTCCTTCCTGCACGGTATGCCTGCCCGTCCTGGTCGTCAGGATGAAGTAATGGCCATTCCAGGCCTGTCGATCCTGTCCAGCGTGACGTAGGTGAGGCTGGTGTTGTACAGCACGCGGAGCCCCAGCCTGTCTGCGAAGTCGCCCAGGTAAGGCCCACCATGGCGGCGTCCGGAAGTAGGCCCGGAGTAGTGTCGAAGAGCAGGCCGGGGGTCGTGCGAGCAGAGAGTTCCAGTCGTGGCGAGGGTTGAACTCGGCGTTGTCTTGCCCGTGAACCGCTTGTTGATGCTGATGAGCTTGCTGTGCCGGGGTAGCGCGTGAAGAAGCTGCCGGGCCGCGGCGCCGATCGAACACCGCGTAGTCCCTCCCGGCCCGCTGCAGGAAGTAGGCATCTGCAGGCCGCGGGCCCGCGCCCATCACGCAGTAGTCCCGGCGGGCGCGGGGCCCTTGCGGGCGCACGGACAGCGCCGGGGCAGGGCGATGGTGAGGAGCAGCCCCGGGCCCCACAGCGGGCCGCGGCGGAGAGGCCCATCCTGCGGCAGACCAGAGGGTGAGCCTCGCACCGCAGCGGCCGGGTGCGACGAGGCCAGAAACGGCGGGTCTTCCCGAGCGCTCACGGCCACCTGGCCGGGCCAGGGCCGGAACCCGGGACCTCGGAGTCATTTGCCCCAACTCCTCCTTCCAGGCTGGACCGGGGCTCCGCACTGGGGTCCTGCACCCCTGCATCGCCTCTCCTCAGGGTCTCCTTTCCCAGGGGCGCCAACCCCCTTCGTCTGAACCATGGTGACCTCCGCCCTGGGGACCGAGAGGGTGTTCCCCAATTTGAGGGGTGCTCAGCCACCCCTCCGTCCCAGGCTAGACCCCCAGAGGCGCGCTCCTCTTTGCCCGCGCCCCGCGCGTGGGGACCCGAAGGAGGTGTGGCCTGCAGGCCCCGCCCTGCCCGGCTCCGCGCCCCAGCCTCTGCGGCCACGTGACGGGATGCCCCAGCACACCTGCCGCCCTCGCCGCCGCGCTCCGAGCCGGCTGGTCGCGCCTGCGCGGTGCCACGCCCGCAGCTCCCGCTTCGCCGCTGCTGCGCCCTCGCGAGCTCGCGCTTCCAGCCGCTCCGACCGCAGCCGCAGCCGACTGAAGCCAGGCTCGGCTCGCTGGAGCCGCGCGGCGCCCCGCCCCCGCGCCCACGGGTCACGTGCGCGGCGCGCGGCACGCCGGGACCTACAGGCGGGCTCGGCTCCGGCCAGCGCGCGGAGAGGGCGCACGTGCTGCGCGCGCGCCATGCGGCTGGCGTGGGGCCCGGGGCTGGGCGCGCCAGCGAGGTGAGGGGCTGGACCCTCCTTTTTAAACTGTGCCTCTCCACACGTGAAGGAGGGGGGAGCAGAAATTTGGCGCCGATCTCAGTTCTTACATGCCATTAATGTAGCCAAAGACAAACTTAGTTGCCTACCCAGGTTTGTGGGACTGGAATCTAGCGTGAAGCCAGAAGAGAGAAACCAATTAACAAGCGTTTGCTACAGTGTAGTTTGGCACGTAACTCACTCGACTGACTTTGATCTTCCACCCACCAGGATAGGTGGGCAAGGGATTCTCTTTCCAACATTTGGTAGTGACTGGCCAATTGGAGGCATAGGGGTGAGGTGATTTGCTTAGGATCACACAGTTAAAAAAAAAAACTCAGAGGAGGCAACCCGAATGGCAGGAGGATGATTAACTGGACCATCAAGGTTGGCGTCCCAGGGGTGGCGCGTGGCCCCTGCACTAGAGGCACATGGGCTGAGTATTTGTGGGGAATACGGGAACTTTCAACAGGCATCACACAGTCCAGTGAAATGGGGCTGAGGCTTCTTGTGGGAAGGCAGTGTGGAAGAACTGTGTGGTCTCACAGCTTTGCACGGCTGGAGCTTTTCTTTAAAAATTGTAGTCAAGGACTCTAGTAAAAACTTCCTGACCCCTCAGGCCAAAGTCGTCACTAAGGAATGCCATTTATCTGTTTTCTTCACAGCCTGTATCAACACTAAAGAAAAGCTCCATTAGAGCAGAAATTGTGCAGTATCTGGCATACAGAAATTCCTCAGTAAACACATTTTTTCTGCCCAATACGATCTGCAGGAAAGTAAGCATTTGTTGAATAAGCACGTGGTCCTCCAGAACCACAAATGCAGCCCCTCAACCAAATCCAAACTTAACAGAACAAATCCCTTTATTAAAAGGATCTGTTCTATAAAATTTGGTTTCAGTCAAAGGCCACACTTGAAAATCCAGAAGGCCACATGTGGCCCCAAGGCTGCAGGGGTGAAGACTATGAAAATGGGTGCTGGCAAACTATTAAGTACCTAAAATAGTTCCCAGTCTTACTTGGTGAATATAGTGGGAAACTACACAGGATTGGTAAGGTATGTATGGCAGGGCCCCGAGACTGGGTTGAACACGGATTGCAGACAACAGGATGCTATTGGAGATTTGAATGGAGGATTTTTAGCAGTCAACTTGGCAGCCCCATGCAGGACAAGTAAAAGCAGGGGAAGATGATACACAATTATTTTTAGAGAATGAGCCTGAAGTCACCTTCCACTTGTTCCAGTTAATCCTGCTGGATTGGGCCATGGGCTTTCAAGAGGTGATTTGGTGAATACGCCAATACCACTCCAGACTCAAACTCCTGGCACCTGCCACACCACTTTCATATACACTATTTACATAGAAAACTCCCCAAGCACATATTCTGCACTCTCTCCAGTACCTCTGACAACGAAGTTCAATAGACTTTTGCTTGCTTTCTGAGGCTCAATTGTTTTGATTAAATCAGAAGACCATTGAGGTCTTGTGGAAATGGACTTCTTACGGGGAACCCCCCTAAGGCACCTCACAACTGACAACACTGCTCATGAAAAGATAATTTCAAGGGGTTCCTGGAACAAAAAAAAATTTAGTGCATCCATCACCTAGAACGAATGTAAAACTAACAATGCTCAAGAGTACACGATGGAACCCAGGCTATGAACTCCACATAGAAACTGCTGAATCTCATGCCCCCCCAAGGGCTACTTGGAGAAGAGTAAATCATGAATGTGCACATAGGATGAAGGAAGAGACTAAACAGACTTATACTTTATTCCATCTGTCAAACGTCACAGAGCAAGAGTCAAATACTCCAAGGCCCTTCTGGGCTCAGTGGAATTACGAAGCCCAGCTTCACATCACTGTCTGGTTTAAGTTTCTTCCTCTGAAAGACACAAAAATGTTAAGAGAAATGAGACATGTTGTGTGCTGTGATGTTGTTTCCTTTCTGAATCTGTGCTGTATATGCTTGAATTTTCAGTGCCTCCACTCAGAAGTTAAGCCTTTCAGATCCTTATAGGGCCGAGAGCTATTTCGCTTAGTCAACTGCTGGTGAAGCAGGAGACACAGCTTTCAGGCTGTGAAACTGACCTGGAGCAGACCTTTTGCCCTCTAGACCACGGGTGCTTCCATCAGGGACTTCCACTGCCTTTTCCCAGATGCTTCTGCCTCAATCTTGCCACTTCTCCTAAAGACCACTCTCCTCCCCAACCTCTTCGTGTGATCTAAAGGCTGTGGAAGCAGCTCTTGGAGCCTAAGTGAATGGTTCTCCAAACCCAAGTGACAGGGAATTCTCAAAAAGTCTTGTCAAGTTAAGGATGACAGTGGCTATAGAACTTGCTCCCATGCTAGCCCAAGATCACTCTAGACTTCAGAGAGAAGCTTGTTACACACCTTCTTCTTCCTCTTCCTCTTCTTCCTCCTCCTCATCATCTTCATCAGAGCTAAAGGTGCCATCAGGCAGGCTATAGACACGGATGACCTGCTTGTTGGGGTCTTTGAGGATGAGGTATTTGCCTTCCTCCAGCTTCATACAAATGTCGATGACGCAGCGCAGAATGCCCCAGGCATTCTCCACGCTCAGGTTGATCTGGCTGGCAAACTCATTGGGCTTGAACTGCTGGGTGCCCAGGATGACGTGGCGGGAGGAGTCTTTCACATGGTACCGAGACACGTAACTAGTTGGAGGAAAGGATATCAGTGGTTGGAGCAGAGAGATAGCAACACTTGGGATCAGACGTCAATAACATGGTGATACCTGGTCTGCTGCTACTCTGAAGGAAAAAGGGAGAAGACAAGCCTTCACCTCCCTACCCAGACACCCCGCTTTCAGAAAATAAGCTCACAACTCATGGGCAGCAAACTCACCCAAGCTTGAGGTACTCAGATCCAGCCAGCAGAGCACAGCAGGTCCACCGGGCCAACTTGTAGCTGTTGTTCTTCAGTTCAGTGGCAATGACGGCCCCTCGCTGAGAGTCCAGCTTCTGACGCCAGTCAACACCATTACAGTGCTGCAGGAGGAAAGCCCCGGTTACAGGAGCGGAGGCAGGGCCCTAACGCCCAAGGCTCTGGAACTCCTCTGGCAGAGAAGCTCCCTGGTCTGCCTAACTGGAAAGTGAGTACGCGCTGAGACTGTTACCATTTCAGAGACAAAGACATGCTCCCCCCCTTGCACAGCCTGCCACACAGCACACAGGCAAATTGTAATTCCTCTCTTTTCAGAGCTCTCCTAGACAGGGACAAACAGATGGACACACACACACACACGTACATTAGAAATAAGTGCCATAGAAATGGCAGAGACAGCTGTGTGCTATGTGTTGTATGGCAAGGAAGGGCTCCACAGACAATGTTGACCTTGTGGAGAATGCTGACACACAAGCTGCAGGTGGAAACAGGAGGTCCTGATCTGAGAGGCCTGCTGGGTGGGAAAGCCAGGCTGAGCCACCCCCAGGTGGGGTCAGAGGCCTGCAGAGCGTGAGGAGCCCAGAGTCTGACGTTTTACACCCTCTCCCCCACACATGAGGGACCCCAGAAAGATTGTCTTCTCTAACCACCTCATTTATAGATGTGGGAAGCTGGATCCACAGTGAGGTCAAAGGTCACATGGCAGAAGTTCCCAAACTTTCTTGGTTCATGGCAACCCTAAGCCAAAAGAAATACTGAAGAATTCCTTCTATTCAGTAGTAGGTTCAAACCACACAGTAATATCCTGACACACTTGTGTTTCTCCCAAACATTTAAAATATCCTGTGGTACCCTTGTGAGTTTACTGTGGCATTTTCCCCTTTTGTTAGAGATGGGGTCTTGCTATGTTGCTCAGGCTAGACTCCAACTCCTGGGCTTAAGTTAAGCAATCCTCCCTCCTTAGCCCCCCATAGTCCTACAGCTAAGAAAACAGGTGTGCACCACCATTCCTGGCTTGCTGTGGCATTTTAAGAGCCCTTCCACCAGTCTGCATTGCACAATAAGCAGTGTTTGGACAACTGATTGGCAGAGATGGATTAGATTTGAGGGTGGTGGTGGAGACAAGTTGCGGCATGAGTGCAAAACAGGAACCATCACCAGGGTCCTGAGCTAGGTGATGATGTCAGGGGAATCCTGAACTGAGTCAGCAGACAGACTGCCCTGACAGCACAACAGAACAGTGCAAAGGAGGATGGGAGATGTTAGCAGCTCCGAACTTATGTGAGCGGGGGAAAGACAAACTGGGGAAAGACAGGCTCATGGATGGACGAGCCAGAGGCAATGACAGGAATGAGGATACTGGAAGGGGAAGGTGTTTTAGCAGAAAAACAAAGGGAGGCAAGTCAGAGTAAATCTCAGATTTGAGAAGTCGGGAATGGGCATCTCAGTCACGCAACTGGAAGGAACTGAACTCTGCCAACAACTGGCATGAGCTTGCAAAGAAACCTTCTTCCTGAACTTCCAAATGAGAACTCAGCTCTACTGACACCCTGACTTCAGCCTTATGACACCTCAACAGAGAACCAAGCCACACCATGCTGGAATTCTGATCTACAGAGCTATAAGCTAATGATTAGTGTTGTTTTAAACCATTAAGTTTCTGTTAATTTGTTACAGTGCAAAAGAAACAAATACAAGCCTATCTAAAGAAGTACTTGTGGCAAAGAAAGCTGTGTGGGGGACTGACCCTAAGAGAAGGCTCCACTGAGGGTCAAAAAAGAGGGGAGCTGGCCAGGCATGGTGGCTCACACCTGTAACCCCAGTGTTTGGGAAGGCTGAGAATAGCTTGAGGCCAGGAGTTCGAGACTAGCCTGAGCAACACAGTGAGACCCCATCTCTATAAAAAGGAGGAGAGTCAGCAGAAACCACATGTGAAGGGAGCAAAGAAATATACTAGAGTAGCAACACTGAGGTCAAAGCCACATAAACATGGCAATGCTGAATGCTGCAGGGAGCTCACTGTGGTAAGTCCAAGAAAAGGCCATTGGCCCCAGAGCCAGGCCCACAGCAAAACTTCCAGTGTGCTTTTTTTGCAGGTGATGGGGTATAAGGAGTCCTGGAGGGGTTAGAATCAGCAGCAGCCCATGCTGGTCCCTTTGCTCTGGGCAGGAAGCAGTAACAGCCCTCTGTACATCTCACAGAGACTTGTCCAACACAGGCCTGGCCTTGGAGCCATCCTCCCTACTGAACATCCTCTATTCTACACACCAGCACCTGGAGCACCACCCACTTCAATTCAGATGCAGCACACAAATCTGGGTAGCTTGTGAAAGAGTAACAGCCCAACGATTGTGGAGCACCAGCACAAGGGAGCATGGGAGGAGGAGGAAGAAAATGGAGAAAGCGTGTTTCTATCAAGGTGCCTCAGAAGAGTCAATTCTGAGCTAGATCTTAGAATCTGAGTTCGGTAAGTGAAGGAGCTGAAAAAAAGGAATCAAAAGATTGAAGAGAAGGTAGTGGCCCAGTAAATCAAAGAAGAGGTCAAAATGAAGCATTGTCAGGCTGACAGAAAAATGGCCAACCCAGATAATAAGGAGATGAAAATCAGATGCCTGCAGAGAGCAGAAGCCAATAGGAGGTCAGAATAGAACAGAGAGGAAGAAAGTACTGGAAGAATGGAGTTACTGGTTCCTTTGTGCAAAATAAGCAGAAAAGTTCTTTAAACGTAACACAGTTCTGCACACATACTTCACACTCTTTCTCAGTCAGGAACTAAGCAGAGAAAAAATTTCATAAGACAAAAACCTAGGTAGCCCTATAAGTAACGAAAGGGGAAAAGAGGCTAGTTCATAGGCGCTAGCTTGTGACAACAGGCACTGTGGATAACACAGACATGGTGTCATAAGGAGGTGACAGACATGGTGCCTCACCCTGGAATCCCACTCATTGAGTGTCTTGATGTTGATGAAGGACACTTCCCCATTGGCTCCGGTCATGACGCCATCATGCTCACAACGAACAATAAGGTCAATATCATCTCCAAGCTTCCACCTGCGATACCTGCGATGAAGGAGAAACTCATCTGGTCACCTGAGACCCCACACAATAGGGCCTGTGCTGTAATCTGGTCACACATCCACCAGAGAGGTAACATACCGGTATGCAACAGAGGCGATCTCATTCTTATCCATGTCGTCCTCCACAAACGGGTTTGGGTTGGGGAAATTGTATCTTTCCTTTCCCTGCAGAAATGACAGGTGCCGTGAGACAGTGCTAATCTTGCAGCCAACGCCAGTCAGCTTAATTACTGCCCTGGCCAGGTCCCTGGGGGGCTCTGAGATTGCTGCTTGTTTTATGCCTACTTTCCCCTCCTGACTGTTGGCACTTGAATTGTAACAATTAATTAGTAACCATACCCCTACCGAGTTGTTTTTCCTGCCATAGCACATATTCCCATTTGACATAACAAATTTATTCAGTGTTCATTGTCTTTCTTCTCCATTATAACAAAGCTCTATAAGGCTGGGAGGGATGCAGACACTGAAGGAACGTTGTTTTTTTTTCTGCTGTAAAGAATCTAAAACAGCTTATCAGTATACAATAGTGTATTTGTTAAATCACTGAAGGAATCTTTAACATGTCTGTGTGGAACATGTATTATCAACAGTATTCTAAATTTACAGACAAGAAACATGGCCAAGAGTACAGAGCTATGAGGTGGCAGATACATGTTCAAAGTCAGCAGT